AAATTGGCATTATTAATTGGCTAATAAATTTTTATAGGATGTTTTTCAAAATGTAAGGATTAAAATGAATCAAAAATCATGTTTCTAGCATTTGTAATTAATAAGTTATAAGCATTTAAAGCTAATAATAAGTTGTTGCGTTTCTTTTGTCGGCCACTATATTATTGATTGAAATTTATAATAATTTGAGCTGATATTATGATAATTAATCATAATGTCAGCTTGAATTATTATAATTTTAAAATAATACACAAAAAAAATGATTAATATCTCATTTTTCATTAGTTAATTACTAATCATGTGATATAAATTCACAAAAAATTTTGAAATATTGTTAAGTTAAAACTTTTGACACTATATTAACTTTTATTTAAAATTTATATATCTGTCAATTTATCAAAAGAACCTTATATAATATTATATGATTTATTTTAAGATTATTTAAATGAAAGTATTAAAGCTAAATTTAAATATATAATTTTTATTTAACTATTATTATTATAGGATTTATTAGTATATATCAGTCACTTAATATATCAATAAATAAACTATTTAAAGATACAGTCTACTTTTAATATATTAAAGTAGCTATTCTGTACTTTAACTTTATTATAGCAAATTAGTAAAAAATTTAAGAATTTGATTGATTATTTATTATAAAAAAAATAAAAATAGAAAACTGAAACAAAACAGGAAAATGAAACAAACAGGAAAATGAAATGAAATGAAAAAATGAAAAAGAAAAAATTAAATTAAACATACAATATAAAAAGAAAAATGAAATTAAATGAACAATATGAAAAAAAATAAAATTAAACGAATGATAAGAAAAAAAACTAAAATTTTTATTATCTTGTAAGCCTTGTAAGTATGTTACAATTTTGCTGTCTATTTTGGTTTTACCTTATAAGCTCATCACAGTTTTGCCTTGTGTTTCGTATTTGCCTTGTAATAGACAAATTATGATTTCTTCTACAAGTGTGTCTTAATTCTAAAAAAGTAAATATATTTAATATAAATCTAAAAATCATTTAAACATTTTTAATTATTACCTAGTTTATCCCAGAATCAAGTCCTAAAGAAATTATATAATCTTTTCATAGTATAAGTTTATCTCCCACTTTTTTTCATTCTATTTTGATAATCGAAAAAGTCCTAAAAAATATTAATTATACTATTAAATTATATTTATCATTATATTGTTATTTATTTATTTACTTACATTATAATCCTATACTAAAATTCCTACATTTCAACTCACATTGGCAAGTTGAATATGCTGTATCATATCTTTGATTGATTTGTTAAACTAGAACTCTGTATTATTGCCTCTGTATCTTATATAGTACTTTTTATTTCTCCTCCTTCTTTCATTAACTAATAAATTAATTTTATTATCCTTCTAAATGATTCTTATAGTCATGTTTGTATTTGTAAAAAAATATGATTTAAAGAAATAAATTAAAGTGATTTAAAGGTTGATTTAAATTTCAAAAGGTAAAAAATTATATAATGATAAAAAATACTTCCCTTTATAAATAAATTTATCTATTTGATTTGATATTTTGTGAAATTCTTTACTCATGATTGAAATAATACAATCTTGATTAAAATTCTGATTTATATTAAAAATAAAAAGTCAAAATAATAATTTAAGCATCATATTATAATTGTGTATCATATTATTTATAAAAATTAGATCAATCCAAATATAATAAGCAAAACTTATAATTGAAATAATACAATAAAAACTCTTTGTAATTGAAATTCTGATTTGTATTAAAAACAAAAAGTCAAAATAATAATACATCGTATTATTTATAAAAATTAGATCAATCCAAAAATAATTTACGCAAATTAATAAATATAATATATCAAACAATCAAAGTAGATCTACAATAACAAATTATCACCTCAGTGATAAATAAAATTATTATAAAATTATTTGTCACAATTTAGTAAAAAAATCAATAAGCAATTTCAACACAAGTTCAACAAAAATTGGTTAAAAATTAATAAAAACAATGTGATTTCTCAACACAATTTTAATAAAATTTTAACAAAATTTTAACATAATTATAGGAGTGTTATTTAATTAATATATAAAATTTCTTGTGATTATAATGTCATTTTATTCTGTAAAAAGTAAAAAAAAAACTGTAAACATTATTATATAACTCTCTAAATTACTATTCTATTATAGTAATAAATTTATCATGATTAGTTTATTTTGAAGAGACAAACTGTTATTTTAAAGCTTCTTTTTTAAGCTTTTTAATAAATCTTAACTCTTTCTTTTTCATGTTAAAAGATTTTTCTTGTTGCTTCAAATATAAAATTACTTTATCATAAGTCTCAATAACTTCTCTAAAAGAAATTATTGGTAATAAAGAATCTTTCTCTCTTTCATCTTCTTGATTAGATAAAACTACTTTTAAAATTTCTTTATCAGATATTATTTTGTTTGTAATCTCAGATTTATCATACTTGACAAATTCTTCAGCGAAAAAAGGATTATTAAATCTAGTTTATTGATTAATATTTGAACTTCTATCATTTTCTTTAACTGTTTAAGTTCAAGTAATATATCATTACTAGTTTTATCCTCATTTTCATGATTATCTTTAAGTAAAATATCTGCTTTCACCTAATAATTTTTAATTATTTTATTTGTAACATTATCCCATGCTTGTGCAATATATTTTATATAGTGCATACAACCTAGTCCTAACCAAAAATTTTTTAAGCGGCCAAATTTAAGATGTTGATCTTCTATCACATAATACAGTAACCTTGAAATTTTATTAGTTCACATACATATGATAAGTGTGATAAGCGTGATGGAAATTTTAATTTAATAAAGCATTTAAAGTTTTTTGATTTTTAGTATCAACATTAAATCAAATACATATATAAATTGTAACAAGTGTTAAAAATAAAAAGAATTTTTTTTTATTGATCATTAGTTAAATAAACTGAAAATTTGAAAATGTTAACAAATATTGGGTAATTTTATCATTGCAAATCCTGAACTGCATTAACCTGATTTAATGCAGTAATCTGAATGTAATCAATCAATCATAATAGTTTAAATACATATCCTAATCATAATCAGTTTTTCTTTTCCACATGACAAATAAAAAATTTCTTACTTTGTGTATTGTAATTAGAAGAATCTTTTTTTTTTAAAAAAAGAATCAACATTAAATAATAAAGCAGTTAATTTACCTGTATAGTTTATGCTCTATCATTTATTAGCTAGATTTCATTAGAGAAGACTTCCAATTTACTAACATGCTGCGTCTAACAAAATGTCAAAACAATCAAGAAAGGCTTGTAAAATAAAGGCTATAAGTAAAAGCATACAAGTTGATTTTCATGATGAACTAGATGGTTATGATGATGATGATGATATTGTTATTCATGATAAGCTAGAAGAAAATGATAATGCTATAAGTATTGTAAGAAAACTTCAAGAAGCAGCAAAAAAATACCATCAGGAATATACTTCCCATAAAAACATGTAGATTACGTTATATAGTAAATTCAAATGCACTAAAAGACAGAAGAATCAATAACAGCATGAGGCAGCAAAGGGGACTCTTAAGTTGCATACCTTTTGGGAGGTCAAGAAACCTGATGAGAAAATTGATAAGGAGGTAGCCAATAAGGATAATATAGAAATGAATAATAATACTAATGAAAATTCAGATGATAAGATTAATGAATATTCAGATGATGAGGTTGAAGGTTACAACTGGTATAATAAAATTCCAGATGCTCTCAAAAATTTGGAACTAGATATCAAAAAAGAAAAGGTTAACAGTAAGGTTTGGATATGCCTAAATAGCATTCGTCTTTATTTCTAACTTGTAAAATATAACCATTCAAAATAAAAGCAAGCGAGGTAGTTGCTAATGCAGCGGAAAAAGGAGTATATTATGTTAAATGCATTCGTTTTTGGACACATGAATATATAATAATTCACAAAATTCCCTACTACATTACGTCAAAACATGGAGCTTTTTCTAGGATGAGAACATTCTACATAAAGTAAAATATATATTTGAGAGCATAAGTGAAATATTACTTCACAGATGCTAATAATGCAAATGAACGAAATTATTTTACCAAGACTTGGATTTGCGCCACCTCAACCATTCATATTAATACTGCAAGAAACTATTTAAAAGAACTTGGATATAAATATGCTGAGATAAAAAGGATATATATATAGATAGACATAAGAGAGAAGATGTGATGGTTATAGGAAAATATTTTTAGAACAGATGAATAATTTTGAGCATAGAATGCCTATCTTTTCAGGAGACAATTTGGAAAAAATAATCTGGCCAGACAATAATATACAAATATTTATTCTTGTCACACACGATAAGTGTATTTTCTCAGCTTATGATGAAAGTCAGAGCCTTTGGATTCCCGATGGTGAATAACTCTTATGAAAAAAAGGTAATGGTCGCTCGATTCTTGTTAGTGATTTTTTGACTGATGTTTGTGGCCATTTTGCACTTTCTGACAAAATACAGACATCAGATGACTTTCTTAGAGAAGCTTGTGTCATTATGCATTCAGGTAAAAACAATGATGAATGGTAAAAAGCTGATGACTTGGTAAAACAAGTAGTTGAACGTGCTATTCCCATATTTGAAGCACGCTTTTCAGGATACCAGGCTTTATTTGCATTTGACAATGCATCAAGTCACGCTGCTTTTTCTCTAGACACGTTTATCGCTAAGCATATGAATCTCAGCCCTGGTGAAAAACAGCAAAAAATGCACAGCACAAATTTTGGTGAAGAGATTCGACAGGATATAGTCTTTCCATTAGATTATCATATTACTAAATTGCGTGAACAGCCAAAAAGATTAAAGTAAGTTCTGATGAAAAGAGGATTATGGCCAAATGAAGGATTAAAATTGGAAGAAGCGTGAGAAGTAATGAGTTAACAACCAGACTTTTTAGCACAAAAAGGACAACTAGAAGAGATTATTGTTGCAACTGAATATCAAATTATATTCTATCTCAAGTTTCATTGTGAGCTTAATTATATTGAGAACTTTTGGGATGCAGCCAAGAAATTTAGTCAATCACATTGCAATTACTCATGGATAGGGTTATAAAGAACCATTCTATTAGCTTTTGCTTCTGTTTCACTTACAACTATTCGTCAGTATGCAAGAAAAGCATTTCGCTATATGAACGTATGCTGAAAAGATTTGACAGATCGAGCAGCAGAATTTGTAGTTAAAAAATACCGTTCACATCACCAGGTTCCTGATTTAGTTTTACAATCAGTTGATACTTAGAATAAAAGTTTCATTTGATATATATTTACTCACACTAGCTATAGACAAAAGAAAAGAATATTAGTGATTATGTAAATGATGTGAATGCAACAGTAGCAATTAGAGTAAACCGCTTAAAAATTAGAATACTTATCTTGTTTGAATATCTATTTTTACCTTTTTTTAAATAAATAAAGAAGAGAAATGCATCGTTTAAATGTTAAAGGCTTATATTTTGAATTTAAAAATAAAATAATTCATTTATAAAAGACAGAATAGAAGACA